GCGCGGCGTGGGCTAGCGATCCCGCGGAGTGGCGGAATGCGGAGGTGGGAACGGCGGAGGGGCGCGGGAGCGGGACGGCATTGGGGGGCGCGCATTGGAAGAAAGCGGGGAATGATGACGTGGCAAGCAATGAGAGGTGGCTTTCTCAGGAGAAGGCTCGGCTGCTGACAGTGCAGGTGGGGAGGGAGAGAGAGATGAAGGAGGGGATGGATGAGGAGGGTGGGATGGGAATGGGAGCGAGGGAGGGATGGGGTGAGGAAGGGAGGGCAAGATGAGGAGGGCGAGGGGAGTGGAAGGCGTGAGAGGCGGATTGAGAGTGGAGGGGAGTGGCATGATTGAGAGTGGAGGGGAGTGGCATGATTGAGAGTGGAGGGAGTGGCATGATTGAGAGAGGAGGGGAGTAGCATGATTGAGAGAGGAGGGGAGTGGCATGATTGAGAGTGGAGGGGAGTGGCATGATTGCGAGAGAGGGGAGTGGCATGATTGAGATCCCTTCACTCCCCTCGCCCTCGTCATACATGACTGACGCCCTCGTCTTGTAAGCATGTGTTTCTGTGTGCATGGTACATACATGCGTGTGAGAGCCTCTGTGTGTGGCCCCGCATGTGCCTACATGTGTGCGTGTGTGGTACTGCAGGGCGGCAAGGTCCCAGGGGGGCTGCTGTTGACACGTGGCAGCTGGCAATGGGAGGAGAGAGGCCCGTCGCTGTACCGCCTCGTGGGGGTCATGAGGTGAGGGGGGGGGAGGGGCGGGGGTTGATGGGGAGGACGATGGGGGTCATGAGGTGACTAAGTTGGTCATTTACGCCATTTCAGCCCACGTACACTTAACGTACGCGTACATGTACGTTTACGTGTACGTACGCGTACGTACGTGTACGTACGCCGGGCAGGTCAGAAAAAAAAATATGCGTTGAATTTCTTTGAAAACGGTTTCCGAAAAAACTAAAAAAGAAAAAATCTTTCGACGACCTGTGCTCTGTTAGCGTGTTAGCAAAACGGCGCGACGTTTTTCAAAGTAGTAATGTAAGAAACAGGAAGGTTGCTAGCTAGGGTCGCTATGGTGTGGCGACTACCCTACGTACTATGTCGACTAAGGCGGCAGAACTACGATAGCTAAGTCTGTCGGCAGATTTGAATGTGTGCAAACTGTTCGCGATAGAACATTGCGAACAGTTTGACTCAGATTGCGATTGCTTCGTTTGCAAGGTAAGCGAATGTCACCCGCTCGGCAGTTTCGTCACCGCCGAGCTTCACTGGTTTCGGCGAATCCCAACTTCGAGTCAAACCAATTCGCCGAGTCAAATCTAAATCTACACTGTATGATGGAAATTATGATTAGGAGGGAAAAGTATAGAGAAAATATACATATCCGGGCAGGCCAGAAAAATTTTCACCTGCCCGTAAATTAGGCCTCCAACCCAACAGCCGCGTAAACGTACGTACCCGTACACGTACGTACGTAAACGTAAACGTAAATGACCAACTAAGTGAGGTGAAAGGGGGGCGAGCGATGGTGGGCAGATGTGTGATGGCAGGGCAGGGGTCAAGAGAGAAACCCTGCCGTGACATCACCACACCATTGGGTGATGATGATGATGATGCTGCCATGGAGTGAGAGCAGTGCAGCAGAGACACTTACCAATGGACCAGCCTCAGCAGGGTAGGTAGGGAAGGGACAAGCCTGTAGCATGGAATCCATGGATGGCGAGAGCCGGAACCCACCCAGAGTGCTGCCTGCAGGAGTAAGCCCCCTCGCTGTGCTCCCACCCCCCCCTGCCCCTGCCTCTTCCCCCTCTCCTCCCCCTGCCCTTTTCCTCTACCACTTCTGCGCCCCCACTCCCATTTTCCCTCCCCCCTCGTCCCCTTCCTTTCCCCTTCCCACTTTCTCCCAGCTTTCATTCCACATAAGGTGACTTTTGAGTCCACTCGAAGGTTTCTTCCCTGCCTTTCCCCCCTGCCCATCGCCCCCGGCGCAGTTTCCACAACACGACGCGCAAGCAGGAGATTTTCATCCCACATGTGACGGCGAGCGTGGTGCTGCTCTCCTCCCACTACCTCCACGGCATCTCCACTCACGTCTCTGTCAGTGCTCGCCCTCCGCCTCACTCCCTCGCACTCTCTCACACGCCCTCACACTCCCTTGCAATCCTTCACACTCTCTCACACTCCCTCACACTCCCTCACACTCCCTCGCACTCGCTCGCCTCCCCCACACTTCCTCACAGACCCGGCACTTCCAAAAAGACTATATCCCTGCCCTCCCTCGCACTTCCACATAGACTCTCTCACTCTCCCCCACTCTCCCTCGCACCTCCACCCTTTCCACCACCAGACCTCCTCCCCCTCAGTTTTGCTCCCTTTGCCCATTTGACACCAGCTCAACTCCTCTCTCCCCTCCTCCATTCACTTTAGCCTGAGCTGCTATCTTTGTCTTTCACTCACTCCACCTATACCTCCCGCCCGCCCGCCGCCTGCCCAGTCCAGATCGCTCCACGCCATCCGGGCGGCAAGCCTGCCGCCCGAGCGGATGGCTACTGGCCGGCGTACATCACGCGGGCAGGCAAGGGCACTGCCATGGAGGTCACTGTTGAGATCCGGGCGGCAGACTCAGTCGACGCAGCAGCACTCTCGCACCTCAAGGTACAAGCAGTGACTTTAGAGTAAACTCAAAGAATAGCCAGCCGAGTGGGGACTGGGACACTCGGGCCTTTTCCTGGCAGGGAGGGGGTTGAGTGCAGGCAGGCTGTAGAGTGGAAGCAGCCAGCAAGGACAATCTCCCATGCCTGTATGAGCCCCTACGTACGTGTGAGCTTGTATGAGCAACCCATGCCTGCCCCATCTCCCCCACTCCACCCTCCCCTGCTCTCCCTCAATCTTCTCCTGCTCATCTTTCGTGGCTCTCAAGTGCACTCTCTGAACCGCATCACTCCCCTTCCTTCCATCACTCCCTCCTTCACTCTTACCCACCATCCCCCTCCCTCCGCACCACACACGCCCCTCTCCTCGCCTCTATCACTCCCTCCCACCATCTCTCCTCGCGTTCCGTCCACCAGGCGGCCAGGCTGGACGTGCATTACCCGGCGTACGGGCCACATGGCAGCCTGCCATTGGTGCAGCACGTCATCCTGCCCCTCGCCTTCCCCCCCTGCCCGCCCCCATCCGCTCCTCACGCCCCCTCAGTGGCGCAGGTATGCCCCTCAGTGGCGCAGGTATGCCCCTCAGTGGCGCAGGTATGCTTGCTGTCATCCCTATTCTCCCTCGCCCCTACTCACCCTCGCCGCTACTCATCCTCTCCTCTGCTCCACCGCTCCCCCCCTTCCAATGCGCATTCACCTTGTCTCCACACCGTCACAACTGCCTCCCGCCCCCCCCCTCTCCCCAACAGCATAGCACCAGGCATATCAGTGCTGGCGGTCCCAACGCACCTGCTGTGCCACCTTGACGACCCGCTTCATCGCGCTGCGACGGTGAGACGCGCGGCCATACAGTGAGACTCGCCCCTCGCCCTCTCACTCGCAACCCACGCCTACTCTCACTCGCAAACCCCACGCTCACTCTCACTCGCAACCCCACGCCTACTCTCACTCGCAACCCCACGCCTACTCTCACTCGCAACCCCACGCTTACTCTCACTCGCAACCCCACGCTTACTCTCACTCGCAACCCCACGCTCAACTCTCACTGCCATTCATACACTACCCGCATCTAAGTATGCCAATTTTATTCGGTTTAGTCTTTCTAGTCTGATCAGTTCGACCTATCCGCCATTTGTGACGCCAGTTTGTCGCTCGCACGTCCCACCACATCCTACTCCATCCCAAGTCTCAGCACCATCTTCACTTCACTGAACCGCACTGCACCGGACTCCATCCCATCCCGCCCGCCTGCACCAGCTACGCAGCGCCATATCTCCAACCAGGCGACGTGGTGACACTTGGCGAGACCCCATTGGCTATCATGCAGGGTCGCTTCCGCCACCCAGACTCCTTGTGCGCGGGCCCAGTGGCCCGTTGGGCGTGCCGCCGCTTCCTGCCCACCTCCTCCCTCGCCACTGCGTGTGGCATGCAGGTAAATTGAGGTATGGGGCTGTGGGGTTGGTGGGGCAGTGCGAGTGGTCTCCGGCCCTTCCCTCATAAACCACCCACACCAATGCATGCCGTTCCCCGTCCCCTCGCAACAAGCCCTAATCAGCGTGGTTGGGGTGGAGCGGGTGATAGTGGCGGTGCTACTGGCAGCACTGGCACGAGGTGACTCTTGAGGCGACTCACAAGTCACCACCCACTCACGCACCACATATGCCCTTCCCCCGTCCCCTTCCCCCTTTCCCCTTCCCCTGTCCCCTTCCCAACTGGCCCTTATGGACGTGGTGGGGGTGGTGCGGGTGATAGTGGCGGTGCTGCTGGCGGCACTGGCATGAGGTGACTGCTGAGTCGACTCAAAAGTCACCACCCACACACACTCACACCCTTCTTCCTTCCGCCTTCCCCCTCCTTCCCTGCGCTGCAGGCCCTTATCGACGTGGTGGGGGTGGTGCGCGTGATAGTGGCGGTGCTGCTGGCGGCACTGGCGAGGCTGCTGCTGGGAAAGAGGGGTGTGTTCTACCAGCTGGCAGGGGAGCAGGCACGGCTAATCGACGACGTCACGGGGACTCTCCCTCCTTACGACCAGTTCATCACCCTCGGGCCTGTGCGTGGCCTCTCCTCTCTTGCACTCTCCTCTCTTGCACTCTCCTCTCTTGCACTCTCCTCTCTTGCTCTCTCCTGTCCACACACGTACGCCTTCTGAGGCGCCTCATAAGTCCTCGCAAGTACACCACACTCACTCACAGCCGCGTCACTGGCACTCCCCCTCTTACCACCTTTCATCACCCCCCTGCCTTCCACACCCCCTCTGCCTTGCACACTGCCCTCTCCCCGGCTGGCCCACCAGCTGCGACCGCAGGAGACGGTGGATGGGCTGAGTGCGAAGCTGGGGTGTGGCGTGGCGATAGTCGATGTTAATGACCTCAAGAAAGTGCAGATCCTCGCTGTGAGTGCCTACATGGGTGTTGAACAGTGCAGAGCGGTGATGAACAATTACGAGAGGAGAAGAGGGATGAAGCTGGGGTGTGGCGTGACGGTGATGCATGTGAATATGTTGGATGGAGGGGGCACTGATTTAGCATCAGGATGCATTGGTGGTGTGAGGAATGAAGGAGTGATGCCATAGCTCTTGCCCCAAGGCCCATACTCCACTGCCATATCTTCTGGCGCATATTCTTATGCCCCATGCTCATCCACATGACCCATGCCCATGCCACATGAACCATGCCCATGCCCCCATGCCCCATGGCATGCAGGCATCAGCAGGGGTGGACCATGGGAGGCTCACAACAGCGCTGCTCCCTAACCCAGCAGGTGAGCTGCCCTGCCTGCACACACGCAGGTTGTGAGAGGTTCAGTGCAGTGCCGTAAGGAATGCTGTGATGCTCGTGCGTGCTTGTCATAGTTGGACATCTGAAGGCAAGCTTTTGGCGTTCCTGATTGGTCGTTAACTGACTGTGGCTGGGTGTGTGAATACAGGAAACGCGGAGGAGCAGACTCCAATAGTCATTGTGTGTGGATGCAGCATGTCATGAGGAGTCATTGCCAGCATTCCATGAAGAATGATTGTCAGGCCATCATCGCACCCAGTTTCTGCCAATCTCCATGCCATTATTTAGCATGAAACGGGTCTATAATACTCATGCTACCATAGCAGTACATACCTGTGTTGTCTAGATTGCTTTATCAGTAGGACCAAATAGGTAGCAGATGTGACTGTAGCAAGTGGCAAGATGGCAAAACGTTTCAACTTGGTTAAAGGCTGTTGAAGAACAACTACCAGTAAGCTGGTAGACCGGCTGGCTTGTTACATTTGTGGCTAGTACCGTAGGCGGGCTGGCTGGCTGGCTGGCTGGCTGGCTGGTTGGTTGGTGGCTGTGGCATGACGACTATGGGTGCAGACACGGATGTTGGCTCACCTCACACGGTGAAGAGCCCACAAAGAATACGGCTCAACAGCAACTGTCAGATTGGATAGTTCCCATCCATACTCTCGCTGTACCTGGTAGCATGGCTGCCCACAGTCACTGTTCTTCTTGTTGCAGCATTTGCAATCATAAGTGTGTGTTATGTACCGTACCCCTGACCTTCTCGTACTGCACAAAATGTGACCAATCCATGCCATACCTGCTTGTGTGTGAAGGATTTGCCTGGCCCCGATCCGGTTTGTGGTGGCTTGCTCTGTATATGCATGCAAGCTGCATGCCGCTCAGGTGGGTGGGTACCCTGCCCCCTCGCTTGCTCCCCATCACAGTACACGTGCCTCTCATGGCAGCTCCCACCTCACTCTCTCTTTCTCTCCTGCTTGGCTGTTGTGCCCAGGCACCTTCCAGGCTCCCCACCCCACCCACCTGCTCTACAACATGCAGGCCCATCCAGCACAGTAACACCTGAGCACAGCACACCTAAGCAATGCTGAACACACCTAGACACACCCAACAGTCTGCCTCTGCTGAGCACAGCAGCAGCCAGAGTCTTCTCCTCGCCTTCACATCACCAACGCAGAGCCATGTTGAATTCTCTGAGCTGTAAACGGGAAAGCAATGGGGAACGGAAGAGAGGGGAGGGGTTGTAACAAGGTAGCTGGAAGCATTTGTAAATCATAGGGCGCATTTCTGTTTGAATCAAAGGTACGTAAGCAGAAGGTGCAAAGAATATTTGGAACGCCACTGTAGAGCAAGCAGGAAGTGAGGGGCGAGCATAATCCACACTTACCATACACTGCTGCTGCTCCCACTGCTTCCTGCACAGCTGTTGCCAGAGCCAGAACGAGCAGAGGAAAAAAAACGGAAGAGCAGGCACTTAGAAGCTGCAGAAGTGAAGATGATCAGACGGCAAAGATTACCGGTAGTTGTGCACTGCATTCACGTCAGACCGCCATTGAAGGGCAAGTACCAAGTGAGAAATGTACGATAACAAGGCCAGCAACTCCCCTTTGCAGAATCTCCCATCACACCCACCATGTAGATACGCTGCACTGCTGCTGCTCCACTCTTCCCCCACGGATGCTGCCAGGGACAGCAATGGGACGTGGAGAGGGAGAAAAACAAGGTCGCAAGTTGTTGCGAGTCGGAAGAACAGCAGGATACAAGGACGTGGATGAAGGGAGAGGCAGGGGAGGCGAGGGCACCATAATATTTGGATGAAGAAAGATGGGAGGGAGGGCTGAGGAGAAGGATGACAGGAAACGAGCAAGGTACTGGAGTCTAGACGAGAACGCAAGCGATGTTAAACAGCAAACATATAGAGGGAACATGGAAGCATAGGGTAGACTGCAATTACCCCTCCATTGCTGCAGCTGCAAACCACTGCAATGGCCGTTGAGGCTGCAACTGCTGGTGCCACCACCACTGCCAATGTGCTTGCCACCATCCTGCAGTTGTCGCATCCTCTTCCCTTTTGAGTGCTGGAGGTGAGGGGAGGAAGGATGGCAAGGACTGAGAGGCGTGAGCAAGGAGAGGAGAAGCGAGTGGATGAGGGGCTGAGGACGTGAAAGAGCAGCAACAAGCCAGAAGAGATGGCAGATGGCAGCTGGAGAAGGGAGTGAGACAAGGCGCAATGGAGGATGCGCTCACCTGCTGCTGCATCTTCACTCTTGTCTTGCACAAGGAACAGAAATGCTGTCCCCATCCCACCGATGCACAACGCACTCCAAGGCTTGGAGCCTAAGAGACACACTCACAGGCATGCACACGCACACGCAAACAAGGACAGGAGCCGGCCCCCCACCCCATCCCCTCCTCTACCCCTCCCACCCCCCTCCTTCCACCCCTCCCCTTCCACCCCTCCCCCCCCCCCCCCCCCCCCCCCCCCCGCCCTCACAATCATGGGAAGACAAGACAAACACACAGAAGGGAGGGTTAGGCGAAACAAGAGAAGACAACGAGTGGCAGAGACAAGAACAGCAGACACGACACTTGCCTCTGCGCGGCGACACCCTACGACTCAATTCATGGCCCCCCTGCAAGCACCCCCTGGCACGTACCATGATCTGTCCGCTGCTCTCCCAGTGTTGGGCCATGCCTTCACTTCAGGCGTCCACGTGCTGGCACGTGCCCCACGTGTTTGCTCCGTTGGTGCTGCTGCTGCAGTTGTTGCTCTCGTTGCGTCCACCACGTGTTGCTGCAGAGACGAGGCAAGGCGAGGACAGGAAAGGAGAGGTTTGGGAGCTGAGAAGAGTGGCATGAAAACATGGCAGCATAGAAGCAAAGACTTTGGTCGCTCCTTCGCTCACATGCCTCTTCAATTCTCCATCCATCACTTCAAGCAGCCCATAATGGTTGAAGAGGAGCTCCATCCTGAAGCTCCATGATGCCCAATCCTCCCCAGAGAACTTCTCCAAGTTGAATGCCTTCACATCATCCTTAGCTGATGTTGAAACGGAAGCCATTGGTGCAGATCCGCCTGCAACGCCTCTTCCTGCTTCCCCAGCGCCTCTCACGCCACCACTGCCACTGGGACCAGCTGGAGCAGAACCTCCAGCCTCCATATTCACCCAAGAACAGAGTAGAATAGCTCTGATACCACTTGTTATAGTCAAGAGTCCACTTAGAGGTCGCGGATGCCCATAAAACCGCCTAAGCAGAATCAGACGTCTTCAAACCGCCTCTGTTCAAAACGCCGTCACGATCAGCTCCGATAACACATGAGGCTGAAAAAAAGACAGCAGATAGCCTTATGTGTCTGCTTTCCAACGGTGTATTGCTTGCTTTCACCAGAGGTGTATGCGCTACGCTGTGAATGAAAACGTAAGCTCGGCTGAAAAACGTGTATTCTCATTGATGCAAGGAAGAGGTGAGTACAACATTGCCTAGGGGACTCATAAGGGGTTAGGTCATCCTGGGAACTCAGAGAAGGTTGAGTCATAGGGGAGAAATTCTAGAGAAGGATGGGAAACGTCCTAGCTAGGTCAGCAAAGCCAACCACACATGGATGTTCAGAGCTGTACTCAAGGCAACCAATTGTGAGTTAAGCGAACCATGAGTCAGCTTGTCTTCCCACTTGCACCCTCTTGCAAGCTGGTTCCAGGAAGACCACACTTCTCAAAAGGAGGGCTGTAGAGTCCCACTTGACCACCTGTACTTCTTGTCTCATTCTCTGTCCCTGCACCATTGGCATGACAACAATGAAAGGGTGGCAAGGGAAATGCTGCCAACAGTGCACCATGATTATGGAACAGTGAATTTCGGCAGCTGTCACGCAATGCTCAGATGTTGGATCGTTCTGAAACTTGGTGACCAACTGCACAGCGCGGCAAAGGACTTCCAGACCAAATTTCAGACCAATCAAATCTTGGTAGACGAGTCAGCAGCCGAAATGGTGAACTCGGGTGTTACCAAAAAGGAGTAACACACACTTCCGGGATGCCATAAGTCTTGAAACATAAAATGTTGTCATGCCTTGGTAACTGCTTCAAAAACTCTGAAACTTTGAGGGTTTGAAGAACACATGTTGAAAAACCTCCCCACCAAATTCCAGAAGCTGAGCAGGCTTGTAGGCCGAATGGGAGTGCGATGACCGTGCCACTGTAATGTGTTGGCACAACAGCACACATACACACAGGGAGAGAGGGACACACACACATGGGGAGAGAGACACACACACATACAGAAGCGGGTTAGAAGGAGCAGCTGGCGAGTGGTGGACCCGCAAGCAACAGACACGACTCTTGCCTCTGCTCGGCGACACCCTACGACAGTTCACGTCCCCCCTGCACGCACTCCCTGGCACGTACCACGCTCCTCCGTCTGCCGCTTTGCCGCTCGGCCGCTCTGCCTCCCGCACCACGCCACGCCTGTGTGCTGCTCTATGCTGCTCTGTTTCTCTTGCGCCAAGCCTTTGCCCCAAGCAGCGCCCTGCTGCTGCCCGTGCTCCAGGTTGCTCTCGTTGCGTCCACCACGTGTTGCTGCCGAGAAGAGGAGAGGACAGGAAAGGAGAGGTTTGGGAGCTGAGAAGAGTGGCATGAAAGCATGGCAGCACAGCAGCATAGACTCTGGGAACCGTGGGAGAATAGTAGACAAGATGGAACGGAACACAGAAAGCAGGAAGACGGTGGATAGAGGAGTAGTAAACTGCTTGAGCTGGTCTACTTGACTCACAAGTGCTTGTGTGCTTGCAGCCATCATCCTGCGGTTGCTGCAACCACTGCCTCCCATGAGTGCTGGAGGTGAGGGGAGAAGGGATGGCAAGGAAGAGGAAGAGAGGTGTGAGGATGTGAAAGAGTAGATGCTAGCTGGAGAAGGGACTAAGACAAAAAGCAATGCACGGTGCATTCGGCCTGCTGCTGCATCTTCACTTCAGTCCAAGTTACCTCTTTCTTGGAAGAGATTGAATCGTCCCCACCCAAGAGCAGGCAGGTTCACAAAGAGCAATCCGCCACACTCCAGAGCTTGAAAGCTGAAAGGAACACTCACAGGCACGCACACACGCATACGCACACATGCACACCCCCTCCCCCCTTACTCCCTTCCCCCTGCCCACACGCACATCACAGTCCCTGTCCACTCGCTGCCATTCCCGTCCGCCTAGCAGGACGTGAGGCACACACAAGCATGGGGAGAGAAAACACGCACAGAAGCGGCACAGCAAGGGAGGGTTAGGAGCAGCGGGAGAGGAGGCGAGTGACAAAGACAAGAACAAGAGACATGACTCTTGCCTCTGCGCGGCGACACTCTACGACTCATTTCACGGCCCCCCAGCTAGCACCCCCTGGCACGTACCATGCTCTGTCTACCACGCCTTCTCTTCCAGCGTGCTGTTCCAGGCGGCTCTGTTGCTGCTGCGCCAAGCCTTCGTTCCAAGCAGCACCGCCGCTTGTTGCTGTTGCTCCAGGCGCCCTGCCGCTGCCCGTGCTCCCGGTTGCTCTGTTGCCTCTGCTACTGCAGTTGTTGCTGCCGTCGCAACCACCGGTCGCTGCAGGGAGGAGGAGAGGACATGCGCGGAGGGGTTAGGGAGCTGAGAAGAGTGGCATGATCATCTGAGAGCACCGCTGCAAAGACTCATCTCATGGCACGTGGAAAAACGGTAGACAAGAGAGAACGGAACACTGAAAGCAGGAAGATGGTGAAAAGTGAAACGTGAAGTGGTGAAGTGCTTGACCTGATCCACTCACAACCTCTTGTGTGCTCGCCATCATCCTGCAGTTGCTGCAGCCACTGGTGATCCCCTTCCACTCGCTGACTCCCCTTCCACTCGCTGACACCCCCGTCCGTCTCGAAGGACATGAAGCACAAACACGCATGAGGAGAGGGAGACACATGCAGAAGCGGCACAACAGTGGAGGGTTAGGAGCAGCAGGAAAGGAGGCGAGTGGTGGAGGCAAGAGCAACAGACATGACACTTGCCTCTACGCGGCGACACTTCACGGCCCCCCTGCAAGCATCCCCTGGCACGTACCACTCCCGCACCATGCCTTCACTTCAGGCGTGCTGCTCTGAGCCATGTCTTCACTTCAGGCGTGCTGCTCCAGGTTGCTCCCCTTTCTCCCCTTTCTCCTCGCAGGAAGGTCATCTCTCGTGCAGCCGTGTCGACTCCCCGTCTCGCTGACATTCCCGTCCGCCTCGCAGCCCATGAGGCACACACACGCACGGGGAGAGGGACACACACACACACGCAGAGGCGGTGCAACAAGTGATGGTCAGAAGCAGCAGGAGGCGAGTGGCGGAAGCAACGGAAACAGACAAGGCAACGGAAGTGGGGGGAGGAAGGGTGGCAAGGACGAGGAACAGAGGCGTGAGAAAGGAGAGGAGAAGCTAGTGGATGAGGGGCTGAGGATGTGAAAGAGCACCGGCAAGGCAGAAGAGATGGCAGATGGCAGCTGGAGAAGGGACTGAGACAAGGCACAATGGAGGATGCGCTCACCTGCTGCTGCATCTTCACTCTTGTCTTGCACAAGGAACAGAAATGCTGTCCCCATCCCACCGATGCACAACGTACTCCACCGCTTGGAGCCTAACATGGACAGGAGCTGGCCCCCCACCCCATCCCCTCCTCTACCCCTCCCACCCCCCTCCTTCCACCCCTCCTCTTCCACCCCTCTCCCCCCCCCCCCCCCCCCCCCCGATCCTCACAATCATGGGAAGACAAAACGCACACACAGAAGGGAGGGTTAGGAGAAACAGGAGAAGAGGCGAGTGGCAGAGACAAGAACAGCAGACACGACACTTGCCTCTGCGCGGCGGCACCCTACGACTCAATCCACGGCCCCCCTGCAAGCACTCCCTGGCACGTACCACGCTCCAGCTGAATGATTTCCCCTACTTGGCAAAATCTGCAGCTCCTTCAGCCCATGCAGCACCCTGCTGTGGCCCGTGCTCCAGGCGTTAGAGAGCTGCTCCAGGATGCTCGTGGTGTGCTGTTGATACCTGCAACAGGAAGGGTCTATGGCTTGTGAGTTGAGCCAAAACCAACCAGTGGCGAGATTTCAAGGAGAAAGCAGTGAAGCACATGCAATACAAGCGAGATGAGCGCTTGGCATCACACAAGGTAAAGCATGTGGAGGGGAAAAAGTAAGGCGCCATTACTACTGCTGCTACGACTCACCAGTGCTGCTGCATTCACCAACGTTGCTGCTGTGCGTCGGGCCGGAACGAAGCCCGCAAGATGGTCACCCCCTGTCCACTCTGTGCCATTCCCGTCCATCTCACAAACCGTGAAGCACACACACACACACACACACACACACACACACACACACACACACACACACACACACACACACACACACACACACACACACACACACACACACACACACACACACACACACACACACACACACACACACACACACACACACACACACACACACACACACACACACACACACACACACACACACACACACACACACACACACACACACACACACACACACACACACACACACACACACACACACACACACACACACACACACACACACACACACACACACACACACACACACACACACACACACACACACACGCACGCACGCACGCACGCATGCGAGCCAGCAACGGACGCCCGCCCATTCCCCATCGACTTGCTGCCATTCCCGTCCGCCTCGCAGACCACGACACACACACACACACACACGCATGGGGAGAGACACACCCACAAGAAACGATGCAACAAGGGAGGGTTAGAAACAGCAACAAACGAATGGTGGAGGCAAGGACAAGAAGACACGACTCTTGCCTCTGTGCGGCGACGCTCTATGACTCACTACACTCCCACCCTAGAAGCATCCCCTGGCACATGTACCATGACCCGTTCGCCGCTTCTGCTGTTCTTGCGCCGCTCCTACGCCATGCTACAGGCTGTCTTCCGTGCGAGCGAGCAACGGACGCCCGTGCGTTCCCTATCCACTCACTGCCATTGCCCTCCGTCTCGCAGGCCGCGAGGCACACACACAGGTAGACAGGCAGCCAGAAAGAAACAACGCAACAAGGGAAGGTTAGAAGCAAAAAGACGCGAGGGGTGGAGGCAACCGCAAGAGACACGACTCTTGCCTCTGCGCGGCGACGCTCTATGACTCTCTACACGCCCCCCCTTCAAGCACCCCCTGGCACGTACCAGACTCCATCCCCCGCTCGCCGACTCCTGCGCCAAGCTTTCACTTGAGGCATGCTGCTCCTGGTTGCTCGGTTGCTGCTGCTGCTGCTGCAGTCGTTGCTCTCGTCTTGACCGCCACCGTGTGTCTGCCTTTGACTTGCCAATGACCCGTTGCTGCCCCTTCTCCTCACTGAGCGGTTGTCTCTCGCGCGAGCCAGCAACGGAAGCAACGGGTGGCCCTGGCCACTCCGTGCCATTCACCTCGGAGGCACACAGAAGCACAGGGAGAGTAAAAACGCAGACAGAAGGAGCGCAAAGAAAGGGTTAGGATAGGAACAGCACGAGAGGAGGCAAGTGGTGGAGGTGAGATGACTCTTGCCTCTGCGCGGCGACGCTCTAGGACTCACTATACTTCCCCCCTGCAAGCATCCCCTGGCACGTACCATGATCCGTTCGCCGCTCTGCCACTACTGCACCACGCTTTCACTTGAAGCGCCACGCTTGGCTGGTCGTTCGTTTGCTCCCGCCGTCACCACCACTGCGGCGTTGCCTCTCACGCTCGTTGCTCCAGCTTCCTCGGTTGCTGCTGCGCCACGCCTCGCCCCAAGCAGCATTCCGCGGCCACTCCGCGCCATTCCGCGTCCACCCCGCGCCATTCCGCGGCCACTCCGCGCCAATCCGCGACCAATCCGCGACCAATCCGCGCCATTCCGCGGCCACTCCGCGCCATTCCGCGTCCAATCCGCGCCATTCCGCGTCCAATCCGCGCCATTCCGCGTCTACGCGGTGCCATTCCCCTCCACCTCGGAGGCCGCGAGGCACACACACGCATGGGGAGAGAGGGACAGCCAAACAGAAGCAGCGAAACAAGGGAGGGTTAGATGGAGCAGGAAGAGAGTGGCGGAGCAGCAAGTAACAGACACGACGCTTGCCTCTGCGCAGCGACACCTACGACTCACTTCACGGCCCCCCTGCAAGCACCCCTCCGTGCACGTACCACGCTCCGTCCGGCACTCTGCAACTGCTGCGCCACGCCTCCACTTCAGGTGTGCTGCTCCTTGCTGTCTCTCGTGCGAGACAGCAACAGCCGCCGCGTCGATTCCCATCCGCTCGCTTCCATTCCCATCCGTCTCGTAGGCCGTGAGACACACACATGTACGGGAAGAGGGACACGCACACAGAAGCGGTGCAAGAAGGGAGGCTTAGAATCAGCAGGAGGCGAGTGGCGGAGAAAAGGGCAACATGTAACGCATAACCTACTCTGCCTCATCTACCGCTAACTTCCTAAGTCAACATCGAGAGACTTCCTTGATGAGAAATGACGTGAAGGCAATCGGGAAGGTTGAGTTGGAGAAGAACATCGGTTTGGTTTTCCCAACCCTCAACCTTGAGGCTTGGAAACTTCCAACCCATCAAAATGAAGATTGGAAAGGTTGGATTTCCAACCAATCAAATTGTGCCAGTTGTTGTTACAATCCACACAAACTTAGAACAACCATACAATTGTGCTAAGTTGGGTTTTTCCCAACCAAACGAAATTACCACCTAGGCTCCAAGCCTATTAGCTCCCCAACCATGGAAGCCATGGTTGGGAAAAGCCCCAAGGGGTATGATGGAAAGGGTTGGAGCTCTCAAGCTCATTTCCCACTTCCCAACTCCAACAATCTAACTTGGAAATGGGATTTTAACTCTAAGTCTTTTGGGTTCTCCTAATAAGCTCCCCTACACAACTAGACTTGTGATTTTTCAAGGACAAGCTCTACAAGAAGCTCCTACCTACTTATTAAAGCTTCATCAACCTTCTTCAAGCTCCCTTTCTCCTCTCAAGCTTAGGAGTACTATCAAGGCTAAATTACCCCTTGGTGGGATTAGTTAACCTTGAAAGCCTTGTATCTTGATTTTATATAAATGTTGTCAAGTGTGATTTATATTTAACACACGGTTGCCCGTTGTTATAAGGGCCGTGATTGTTACGTTGGTATCTAGAGCTAGGGTTATCCTAAGCCTAGTGGGGATTTTGCCCCTAGAGATTCTTTTTTTTATAGATCTTGGAGTTGTGGTTTCTATTTAAGAGAACACTCAAGATCTGGAAGCTTGAAGAGTTCAAGATCTACAAGATCTACAACTGCAATTTCAAGCTAAGAAGAGAGATTTATCTCTCTTGCCCACCTTTTGGTGGAAGACTCTCTACTGTTGAGTAGTGGAGTATAAACTTGGATCTGGAGGATTTGTTGAGGGTTATACAAGTTCTCTTCATTGAGATTTGGATAGACCCTGCCCTTTCACTTAGGTGATTGGGAGTGCTTGACAACAAATCTGTTACCTTGGGTAACTTGGATTATTCTGTAGAAGAAGTTTCTTTTATAAGAATTTCTTGCTTTACCATTGAGGTGGTAAAAAGACTTTAACAGAATCAACCCAGATCTTACAAGCTCCCTTAATCCTTATGGCATCTGGCCAAGAGAAGGATATGGCAAGGGAGGAAGGGCCCACTGCACCTAATGAGGTGGTGAACAATGCTGCTGAGATTGACCTCAATCAAGATGAGGCAATGGCTGACATTGAGTTGGATGATATTGAGGACTTGGACCTGGACCTTGGAGATGAGCATAACCATGGTGAAGCTGAGAACCATGATGAAGCTGAGCACCATGATGAAGCTGAGAACCATGGTGGCGCTGACAACCTTGGGGAAGAGGATAACACCGGTGGAAAGGAGGCCACTGGTGATGAAAATGACTTCACTGAGGGTGAAGGCACGACTTATCCTATCTCCGAGGAGATTGTCCAACTCCAGGCTAAGGTGGCAACTCAGAATATCACCATCCTGCAGCAGCAGACGTCCATTGATGGACTCAAGAAGCACACTCAG